ATGACCAATCCAATTAGCCTTCCGTTTTCTTATTTCGTGTAGGATATTCCTCTGCTCACTGACTCTAAATAACACTTCTTCATTTCTCACATAATCGGTCCAACTGATCTTCTCCATCCTTCTCCAACACCACATTTCGAAGCTTTCCAGGTGTTTCTGATCTACTGCCCTAAGTGTCCAAGTTTCAGCCCCATACAAAGCCATGCTCCAAATGTAGCATTTCACTAGTTTCTTTCTCAAATTTAAGTCCAATCTGCTGGTAAAAAGATTCTTCTTCTTGCTCGGTTTCGAACTCCAGATATTTTTATCTTCTATCAGAGTCTTTTCATGTCTACGACCATGACTCAGTACAATGCAGGCCTCTTTTGGATTAACTGCTACTGAAAAAAGTACTTACTATTTTTGTGTTACCGTTCGCACCGTGGGTAGGATCCGGTTGTGGGCTCTTGTGAACCGGTTCGGAATTCTGGAATCCCCTAGTCAATGCGTTATTCAGTTCTTGACTTTGAGAGAATTGTTATCTTCAACTGTAAGCTCCACAAGAGGTCGTCCGGTCACAGTCATTTATATGGAGTGTCGATCCTGCAATATGCAAAAGAAAGGTAAAGGTATCCCTGTAACAGGCCGTGAAGGCCCACAGGTTATGTGAGACTTCGAAGTTCCCACATTTTCTCTAGACAATCGACTCACAGATCGCGGTAAGTCTGTCAGCCTTAAACACCGGCCGGTCTTTATCCCCTACGAAGATTCCTTGTACTCATTTCTGTTAGAAGTTGAGTCGATCCCAGGACCATAGCGCTGCTGGAAGGATTAGGTCAATTGAAAAAATCCATATGAGCGGGACTCGAACCCGCGACCTTCCGGTTTGCAGCATAGGGCCTCAACCAACTACGCTAGCGTTTGTCCCCCTGCACTATGTACGTCAACAATTTTAATGAATACGAGACCAGATCAGAACATAATAAGGCTGAAATCTTATCTCAGATAAATTGCACTGTGCTGGGACATCAGCTGCAAAGAAAGTGCCCTGACACTTCACTGGGTGTCCAAGCGTATTTGAGCGTATTCCTCTGCTTCGGTCGCCCGTGATCAGTATTTAAATTTGAATTTGATTCCTCGTGCGTCGACTCAATGTTGTCCAAATATATAGAGCAACTCGTTTGAGTTACGTGCTTCGACATGATCCACAAGACGGGGTCCGAAATTTACAAATTTATGCAAATGACATTTGGCGGTGTAACAATGGGCGGAGCACGAGTTTTGAGCTCTTCCACCCATTTACACCGGGACTGTCTTGTCTATGGCTCTACAGTCCTCTGTTGGATCTCGTCCGCTTGTTCGGTGCCTTAATCCTGTACACAGACGGTAAGACTCCTTTGACGAGTAATCAGCTCGTCTCAAGGTCGCTACCTACATATAGAATAACACAGACATCCATGCCTTGAGTGGGATTCGAACCCACGATCCTAGCGTTCGAGTGAGCGAAGATATTTCATGTCTTAGACCGCGCGGCCACTGTGATCGGATTGACACCGGGACTGTGTTCGAAATGTAACTTGGCCTTGGCCATTCAACTCGTAAAAATAGTGAATTATTAGTTCAAGTGCATAATTTAGCGGGAAATAACAGAGGACTGACAATTCGTGCAGTAGCTGAAGATGTATGAATTTCTTTTGGCTTGTACTAGGCCATCTAACATAATATTTATGTACAAGACGTGTCAAACTCGTGCCCATATTTCCGTGGCTCCCGGATAGCTTACATTTTTAAAATCCAATTAAAACATCTTATAATGATGAAATATTAGATCGCGGTTATGCCCCGAAATTATGCAGCATTCATCAAAATGGAAGTCTCCATTTTCGTCGCGACCGAAATAAGAAGGAAAAGTGCGTAGCAAAGCCACAGTTATGCTCACTGCCTGTCCTGATTGCGATGATCTGTACCACAAGCATACTTCGCAAGGCCAGACTTGTAACCAACATTTCTGTCAACAAATATTGATAAGTCTGCGCCAAGCAGTGCCTCGTAAAATTGTGAGGCCGGTAAGAGACAAATTCTCCATGTCAATCTAGCCCAGCCTGTGCATAATAGTCAGTCAAAAGCAATTTTTCACAAAAAAAAACAGCCTCCCAAACCCATCAGATATGGTTGCCCGTGATTTCTTTTTGTTGTTCCCTAAAATTGAGAAACCTGATGTTTTGATGACGTGGAAACGGTAGGGCAGGGGCGCGTCTGTTGGCAATTCCAAAACTGAGTTTGAGGAGTGCTTCAACACTGACAAAAGTATTGGAACACCCCGTCCCTGTGAATGCATTATCTTAATTTCTACACAAATTCAGGCTCGATGCTGTGTGATTTAATCTTGTATACAAAGATTTTTCTGTGAAATAAAGTTGAGTTTCCTTTGTCCTTTACAGATATTACAAATTCTCGCAGATTTCACATCCCACAGAAAGTGTGGCATATTCTGCAAAATTATCATAAAATACACGAAAACAAATTCACATTCACAGAACTTGTTAAAGGGCGTGATTTTCGTGGTATTTCTTTGAGGCCAAGACAGTAACAGTCATATACTTATTTTAATTTTTGTTTTTATATTAAGACTGGGGTGAGGTAGATGATATTTGCACAAGTCATGAAAAGTTTGCTGTCCTTGTAGCATTTTCTCTAGCCTGAGAATTTATATTTATTTACTGTATTAATTAAGAAGATATTCAAACATCCTGCACAGGGTGAATTAAAGAAATATTAAATGAAGATCTTCACTCCACTATCCTCACGCCATGCGGTTGAATATGTTTGCTAGTGAAATTGGTTCCTTAAATACGAATTTTCTGTACAGTAAAAATTGATGTAGGTTCTGAGGTTTTAACTGAGGTGACTCTTACGAATGCGGTCTTCTGATTTGTGACACCGTGTAGTTATAATTTTTTTAATGCTAGTGGGGTGGGAGTAAGTCCTTTGTACTTCGGCCACTTCTGGCCTATTGTACCAGCCCCAGATGATAGGTGAGGGTGATTGTGGAGCAATTGGTGGAATGAAGATTGGCAGGGGAAACCGAAGTACTCGGAGAAAACCCGACCCAGCGCCACTTTGTCCACCACAAATCCCACTTGACCAGACCCGGGATCGAACCCTGGCTGCCGCGGTGGGAAGCCAGTGACTAACCGCTTGAGCTATGGCGCGCCGTGTAGTTATAAGGAGCGCATTGATTTCTCGTCAAGATGGAAACTTCCTGCCTTCCCACATCCGCACCCTGACGGTGAACCCTCAAAAGGTCTGTTTTTCTTGTCCGCTTTGTCCACGTTCTCCCCTTTGGCTAGGACCAGGTTCCTTTGTTTACCCATTTCCTTTGTTCTCATGACCACCATCTTTGAAACTTCCCTGCATAACCAAGCCTACTTCTTAATCTACACATTTCAAACATGAAGATCTAGGCAGTATGTTACTCCGAAATGTCGGTATCCGCTCACAAAACTACACAGCGTCACAAACCAGAAGTTCGTAACCATAAGTAACAAATTGGTGTGCCACAAATGGAATGAACTTCTGATGGATGGTTACAGAGAGTGACTGGTGTCCCGGTACATGGGACGGCTGGCTGTGCTGGCCAGACACGCCGCCTCACACCTCCCAACAACAGCCATGTCCCACATTCATTCGGTTCGGAACAACAGATGACAACTGTCAATGTGAGTACGTATATGGGGACTAGTAATGGAGTTTTAGGTTCTGTCCAGACCGGCTCTGGGGCCTGAGATACGTGCAGGGGGCTCTTGCCAGGAGGTAATGTGGCTTTGGCGTGAAGGTGTCAACTGATTGACATCTACTGAGGAGGAGACAGTGCTTGGATCTATGCCTTAATTTCCACGTACTTAATTAAGCACAGGGACAACTCTTCACCTTTATTACCCGTGAGAGAAGGCATGTAATTATAATTTTCCTGAAGAAATATAAAGGTTAGCTTTACACTGTGGCCTTCGTTTTATAACTTAGTTAATGTAATGAAAGGTAAAACTGTCCCTGAGCCGAAGCACAATGTCGTGAGCTCACAGGGAAGCGAGGACTTTGTTATTACTGATCTTAAGTTTTCACAGTGGTTAATTATTATTATTATTATTATTATTATTGGAGAGGGGTGGGTTTCCCCATGTACCGAGACTAATAGTCTATTGTACGTCCCCCTTTGATATTCTACCAGTCGCCATACCCTTCCGATACTGGTGCTCGCTATCAGCCCCATTCAGCCAGCGAGGCTGACAGTGGTACCCGATACTTCCCCATCTACCGGAGGCATTGGAAACTACTTGGGCGGGAAATTTTTGCCTAATTTTGCTCAGAGGTCTCCTAGAGACTTGAGGATCTTTTACGTGCCGTAAATCTACGACACGGGACCCACGGCTTAAAGTCCCTCCCGGAGGACTT